TTCTAGTTTTTAGAACTATACCAAAGTACATAATTCAATAAAGTTTTGTTTGAAAACTTCTTATTTTATTTTTGCTCATATTCAGTCACTTATATTTATCGCACTTGCTTGAGTGTTAAATAGAGTATAGGCCTCTTTTACTGTTAGACATAATAATAGAAAAAAGTACATGTGAATGTTTCCCTTCGCATTGTCTTATACATATTTCATTGTCATGTTGCTAAATTACCGTTTTAGCTCACGTTTTGGGGGAGAGATGAGTGAATTTTTCTTAAAAATAAATAATTATTTATATGGCTTGGAAAATTAATACTATTAAAATGAAATTGAAGTATCATTTATTAGTATTCTCATCTTGGAATAAATAATATTTAATAGTATATATGCAGAGTCTGTTAGAGAGGACGTTTGTTTTATGATATTCTTATATTAAATGGTTATCGATCATCGAGAAATTTCATGAATTTCTTAATAAATTTAAGTATTAAAATAAGTCATGTATTTCTTAATTCTAAATAATATTTTAACTATTATCACTTCAAATATATAAAAAAACTGTATAAAATCATACTGTTAAATTATTATCTTTCATAGTAACATATTCAATGATAAGTTACCTTAAAATGTCGACATATATACGAGCATGAAGAATGTAATGCACATTTTAGAGCCCATTTGAAGCGAATAATACTTGACTTCTGAACGTTATAATATAAATAGTTTTGGTGATCGGATTTCTATACAAATATATAGTACAATAGATTTTAATAACATAGAAAAATATTTGTAATCTCTCAGTTTTTTTTTGTTACGGAGTTGGATAATATTTTGTGATAGTAATCATAACAGTCTGCAAATAATTGAAAGTTATGTGTATAATGTACATTTATATCTTTTTTTGATACATCGATGTTTCACTAATTTCCAAAAAAGGTTATTCATTCTTTAAATCTCATACTAAATGATGATACATTTGTATTGATACAAGCTGTATAATGATTTTAGTAATGCAAAAGTACATCAATACTACATACATAAGTGGAATGTTTTCAATGTTGACGTAACACATACCGCGTTTGCCATGTATACATATTATACTACATATAAGATCAAGAGTATATACGAATGTTTGTGTGCTACTTATTTCGATATGTATAAATTCAATTTTTCCTTTGAAAGATTTTTTTTATTGGATTTTTTTTACACAATTTATTATAGTTACATTGGCTTCGTTAATGGCTTATTTGATATTTCAAGGATTTAAATCAAAAGAAATAAATCACATTTAAATTCTCTTGACTTCGCGATTCTTCTTCGACAATATAATAAGTGGCTAGATTGCTTTGAATACACCGAAGAAATATATTTTTTATTTATAATTCGAGAGTTCCATCCGCTAACTTTAAAAGAAACGAGTCTGTGAAGATGCTGGAAGATAATAGGGGTAATAAAAACGAAGAGAGGGTTCGACAATCTCACTGCGGTAAAAAGATTTAAGGAAAATTTTACGTTAACGCTGTTAACTGAATGCAGCGGATTATTATAAATTGTTTGGAAAAATGTTTTAAACTGAAGTAAAATCTTTAAATCTATTCAATGATACAATATTTGGAATTTTAATTAAAAGTAATAATTTTATTTTGATGATATTCATTAAAACAGTTGTTTAATAAGTGCGAGGCTTCTGTAAGAAATTTCCATGAAGATATTTGAATGTATAAAATTAAATATATTAATATAAAGTAAGTTTATTTTATAAAACGAATTACTTAAATATACTAAAATTTTATTAATATAATTATACATGTATATTGTATAATTATACAAAGATTTACAAAAGTATAATATTTCTGTCTTTTTACATTACAATGTCTATTAAAAAGATTGAGCTCCGAGTGTTTCACTGTATCGTAGTAACATTAAATAAAAACTAAATATTACTACCACTATAAATAAAACGTAAAAAAACTAAAATGTCAACATCTGAATATGTTAAATGAACACTACATAGTCGCTTTGAAAGCAACCGCTGTAAGAAATTAGAAATGCAGAATGATTACTGTCACAGGTTGAATACTGGGGATTAGGTGAGCGTCCTACATCAAGGTTTTATGATATAAAACTAGAATAGACAAAGCATTTAGATGAAATTAACCTAGAACCTATTATTTTCTATATATTATAGTTATTTAGTTATATTAGAGGCAATTTATATTTCTACAATTTTGATTATATGATATTTCATTAAGAAAATAAGAAAGTTGAAAGGCGACGAGAATTTCGGGTAGGTTTAAATATTAATAGACCGGTTAAAAGTAGCCTTGCAGAGTTAAAATACTTTCTTTTGTGTACAATAGTTGAAGTTTTGTTTGTTTCTTATTAGTATATATTACTTTTCTTTGAAAAATATTGAAATGTTATTTAATCTAATATTTGGTAATGCATGATAATTGTTTTTTTTAAACTAGATAGTTTCTTATTTTAATATTTAATAGAGTAAGTTCATAAAAACTATAGAAGGAAATATAGCAGAAAGAAATAAATGTGGTTGGCGTTTAACCTTCTAATTACAAACAATTATTGTTATACACTCATAAGGAGGTGGAAAATTGTTTTATAAATAAATAGGTTTTAATTTAAGGATTTGTTTATTAGGCAGAAGAGACTAAGTAATACTTCTTCCTAAAAAATATACATATTGGTGTTTGTAAATATACCTAGGTAATCACGACTTTTAAATAATAGCAAACTTGCAAATCTTTATACAGAATTCAATCCATTTCAATCCATTTACCAAAAGAGGAGAAAAATAATGAAAATTGAAAAAACTATGTGGTTTTCTATATTAAGTGACTCAAATATAAAAATAAACAAAAAAATTAACTTCTTTAAAGGGATGTCTTTTGCTTTTATATAATTTTCTAACATTTTCGACCAAAGTACAGACTTAACTATGATTTATTTGGAAGAAAAGATGCCAATATATGTAGTCATAAGTTCAATAAAAAATTAAATAAGTATGTCATATTTACACAAACATATGTATAAAAACTGTATAAGATGTTCTCATGAGAAACCTTCATGGTTTTCAGTCGAAATTTACATAAAATAATTAAACAAATGTTATTATCGTAATCTTTTTATTAACAATAAAATGAATCAGTGCATACATAATTGAATTCTCAAGATCCACAAGCCTGGTTCCTGTAAAACTACTGAATCCATTCCAACGTCGCAGCATCCACACTTCATCGAATTGATCGTGAACACAAAGTATTTAATTAAAGAAACATCTAGAACCGTGGCCGGTTCTGACTCCTGGCTCTGTATGGTACTTAGACAGTTACATGACAAAAAGCACTCGCGTTTTTGTATCGATAATGCATCTTACCAATTTATAGTCGAGAAATATAAGAAGAAAAATTTAAGGAATATATAACAATAAATAATTTTTTTTATTTACATTTAAAAATTGTGTCCTATCTATCATGCCATTAATCCGGTAATGCAGTGGTCGTCTAAACTGTGTCACCATATAATGTTTCATCAATTACCTTCCCTTACCATTGATACAATATGAATCATTCATTGACTTTTAAATAATCCTATCTATTACAGATCATATTTTATATATCGGCAATCAATATAATAAATAGGTGGCCAGAATATTTTTAAACTGTCTACATAATTTACTTTAAGTTTTATTCTTTAAAAAATTGGTTCCTTCCAACATGGCGCATAGTTCACGTCACATCGAACAGCTCATGGCTAAAAAACCTAATCCATTTCAAAAACAGCAGCTTACAAATACGAATCATAGATAAATATTTACATTTCTTCTTAACGTTAGAACATTATAATTAGATACTTATTATATAATCAATCCTGGTTCGTTTGAAATCTAATACGATAATACAATAAATATTTAAACGACTTATTCCTTTCAAAGAAAATATTTCTTAAGTTACAACAATAAAAACTTACTTTACGTAGAAGAATCAATGATAATAACGATTTCTCTGAACAAATTTAGTACAATATAAAGAATTTAAGTACAAAACATTGTCAGTTGATTAATATTTTTACATTAAAACACTTTAACTACTTAAAATTTACTTGGCAGTAGTGATTTAATCCCCGATCCGATGCTAAAAGTTAAGCTACTCCCTTAACATATTAAATTTATTTAACAAATTACAATACACTATGCATCTTTATGTATCGGAACTGTTTCAAATTTAATAACATTTACCGAAGATTTACTTGGAATTATCGAATTGGCAAACAATCCTACCGACGATTTACACCTTTACACAAGAATTTAGAAGCGAAATTAATAATAAAACGCTATTTCATCTAACTCACAGGGACTCTAAGATAATTAAAGCTCCAGATTGTCAAAATGCTTATATAAATGATACAGTGGTAGTACACACATTTCTTAAGCTGTGGAAACGCAAAGTTAAATGATAGAAGAGCATAGGAAAACTATATTTATAATTACACCGTCAATAATAATAGTTTAGACGGGATATTAATTTGAAAATTACAATAATTGCGTTATGAAAGCAATAATTTCAAGATAATACTTAATGTAAATTGTATATGAGATATAAAACACAAGAGACAGTGACTCTGGTGACCTGTAAGGTCTTATGAAAATAGAGAAATAAAGACGGGGCGGCAAACCGCAACCTCCACATCACTCACTTCACTTCATACATCGACTTAAACAACATTAAAGATAATATTGTCTTTTCAAAATCTCACTCCACGAACACTCGTTAATTGTAGCGAGTTGTATATACTAAGTATATGTATATAAATTTGATAAAGTTAATTCGTATTTAAATATTATTTATCATAAAAACACTTAACTTCGTAGTAGTGAGTTCGGTTCGTACGGTTTAGTTTGGGTGGGGGGAGGGAAACGGTGGCAGTCAGCAGACAAAGAGGCTAGGTGGCGGCGCGAAGTGCGCACGCTCGAGAGAGGCGCGCTGTTAAATGATACTTTCGCGATTCCTTTCGTTATCCTCCTGCGAACTGAGGGAACTGCCGCCACATATCTGCATCTCGATTTCTTGCAACCTATGGAAGCATTTAAAATATTACAATCAAAATTCTAGAAAAGGAAACCAAAATTACGTCATGTCTATAAAAATTGGAATAAATAGGTTACCTCTGATCAACCTCCCACTGTTGCTGACTCAATTTTGCTGACATGGCAGCGTTTTCCGTTTCAACAGTGTAGAGACGTTCCCTTAGCCTCTTGATTTCACATTCGAGGACTTCGTGGGAGTCTAAAAGAACACGAGGTGCGACAATACTGGCTGCCACGCTACCACCACCCGCTGCGCTGCTCCGAGCGCTTGACGCACATGACGCCACTGGTGATGCTACACGAAGGGGGCTTACTGAAGAACTGAAATAAAAAATATATTCGATATGGATTGTGAAACTGAGTTCCCGAAAAGTGAAATTGATTGTAAGCTTTCTCATTAAACAATATGTTCTAAAATTTCTTGAGATGAAAAAATTTATCTCCTTAATGTTGTGTCAAAGTTGACCCTTATTATTGTAACACTAAGATGGACGTTAATTACCTTGAAAAATTAACATTTTTGTCTTTGAATAAGAAGTTCGTTTTAAGTTGTTTGCTATTTACTAAAATAACTAAAGTTTGAAAAGTATATTACCTATATAGCTGGTCCCGGTAGGAAGGCGGATGAGTAGATTGAATTGGCGGCAGAATAGGTGCGGGAGGTAGCTGCATATCCTCAATGGGCACACGACCACTCGTCTCAACCAATCCTGGCGTCGATTGGCAACGACCCATTGCCACTGCAGTAAAGCACAAAGTTATGTTGATATATAAAATATGATTTATTACATACATTTAATATAAAATACCCTTTTCTAAAGGCGCTTTCTTATATTTCTCAAGTCTCTTGACTGCTATGGATTCAAGGCGGACTCTGGCTGCAGGGTATTCTTTGAGGACGTCCCACATGTCCTTCTTGCTGAGCACGAAGAGGTCCGAGTAGCCAACGGAGCGCACAGACGCTGTCCGCCGGTTGCCTGTCGACGTGTCATCCACACACTCCGTGCCAACCGGTGTTTGGCAAATACCAATCGTGAACTATTTGGACTCGTTAAAGAATTCCAAGCCAAAACGTTCATGATATCAATACACAAAAATGATATTAGATTAAGAGGAAGAAGTTAAATTAGCCAAGTTACAGAGACATAACAGTAATCAGTCTTCAAAAGACATTCGAAACGAATGAAGATATAAGAATCATAACAGTTTTAAAATAACTATAAGAAGCGAGTCTATTGGAACGATTTGTGCTTCAAGACAAAGCGTTAGGGTTCAAAAGTATTAAAAAAGATATAAATTACAATGTTATTAATAAAAGAACTAAGCAGTTCTACAACTTTGACAATGTCTATTTAAGGCATTGATAGTCAAACTAAAAATCTTTATGTGTTGCCGCTGTTTCTGTAAATGTTAACAAAGTACATTAAAATGTTGTTGGGGGTTCATGCACCAAGAGGTCACGCCAAATATATGAAATATTCAGGGAGGATGCAAAGCGGTCGGGGACACTGCCTTCAATACAACCAAAGGAGATGAAACTACAAAGCAAAATAAATCACACGAGCCCGTGCTTCGAGTCCTACGGTGAAAGCAATATGAGTATCTATAGAAATAAAATATTAAATAAATATGGCTTGCATAAAAATTAATGATTTATTTATTGTTGAAGAAGTTATAATTTAGAAAACTGGTTGCTTATGTTAAATATGAAATGGTAGTAAGGCATAAAAATGTTATAAAAAATAATAAAATGTCGAAGCTCTTTATACAATCACTTTTTCACAGAACCACATTACCGCTAAACGATTGTAACATTTGCCATCGTTGTCAATGATCTTTTCATTAGATAGCAAAAGTGTTCAAAAAGCAGTAATGTTTGTTCGAGAATGATGTCCCAAAACCTGTTGGTAGCGTCGTGGCCGCTCCCTCGGCCTGATTGCAGCGTCTCCTCGAAACGTTTGCTTTTTTTTGCTTTTTGAACTTTTCAAAGAATAAAGTAGAAAATGGCGTGGCGTCTCGGGCCGTGGCGATATTTACCAAGTTGTTTACCTGCTGTGCCCATGTTCAGAATGGAAATTTCGCCAAAATAAGAACCAGCCTTGAGTGTTGCTAACACTGTTTTTCCGTTGTCACCTACTACCTGGAGTTTGCCTCGATTAACTATGTACATCTCCTTGCCCACTTCACCTTAAGAAATATATAATTATATAAAGATAAAGTTAAGTCGTAATAAGTGTTACTATATAAATAACACTTACCCTTCCTGCAGATATAATCACCCGGCGAAAATAAAACTGGTCGAAGTCTTAAAACTAGCTCGCACAAGAATCCAGCTTCGGTATTTTGGAAAATCTCCACCCTGTTTCGTAAAATAAATGAAACAATATTAACAAGGCGTTAAAATTAATTGCACTTGGTCTCTTGTTGGCAAAATATTACAAACTTTATCGTATGTACTATATTTTCTCAACCGAAGATAACGAGTTTAAATCGCTGAGGTCGCAACACAAAATTCATTTCAATTTGACACGATAATGTACACGTGCAGGAAATAATATGCCATCCTTATTTAGCTCAAAAACAAAAAGTTCCAAAGAGCCATTTGGCTACAAAATTTACGGATCGTATGATGGAACACTTTTGAATAATTCATGGACGTAAAAAGCGAATGTTTCTGTTTTGTAATTATGCGACACGGAATATTAAGCATTAAGTGCTGTCACTGACTTGCAATATGATTGTATTTTTTCAGAGAATTACGTAATATTGTTTCATACTTCGTTAGATTGTTTGAAATATTATTTGACTCGAGGCTTTTTAATCACAGAGACACAGATAACGTAAACTTTTTTTACCTCTTCAAAGTATCCAGGTGAACGTTTATTGCGATTTCTGCCTTTAGTTTATCTGGTAGGCAGGAAACCGCTTTCTCCTCATCAGAACACTTTTGGGTCAACCACAGGTAATCAAACCATTTGATGACCTTGACTTGGAGGTGTGTAGGTACACGCCGCATTCGCATATACGTCTTGACACCATCAAGTTTCGCTAGAAAATATTAGAATCGGTTTAATTATACCAGTAATAAAAAAATCTATTGTTTGTAATAAATGAATAACACTTTTTTGCTCTTTATAATTAAGTAACTAAAAATAGGGGGTAAGGTTGAATTAGAGTTCGCAAGCCTTTGTTCAGGCTCAGGTATCCTGAGACTAATAAGCTATGAAGTAAAATTAAACTTGGACGCTTCGTGTATCAAAGACAAAGTTTCCGAATGATTGCAATTTCAAGTTTATTTGACTTATCCTAAGTTTAAAGATAACGATTAATTGTAAAAAGATGATTAGCTATTTCTATACGCAGTTTTATATTACAATAGTTAAGGAGTTTTCTGCTTTCAAATATTTTTTTAATTTATGTTTCTGTGTTTTGTTGGTGTTGTGGAAATTATATATTTAAATAAAAAATAATCCATCTGTTTTATTTGCTCAACCTGAGTATATATGGCGGTATTCAAATATATATTTTTAGACAACAATACTAGTTTCAGTGTGAAAATATTACGTAGATATGAATAACCAGTTAATACGTGTTAATGTAAGAGCAAAGTATTCAAAAACATCATGTTCAGATAGAAACGTCATAAATTCATAAAAATAGGAGAGATTAAAATTGAGGATTTTTGATATTTTTCAAAAATAAGCCTTGTCGAAAAATATTCAATTAAATTCTTAAATGTTAGAATACGTCAACAAAATACAATAATACATTTTTTGTTTTGAATTAATTTCAGGTTTGTAACAGAAAAATATAACAGTTTAACTTTTTTTGGTGTATCATTAACAATTTTAAGTTAGTCTAATGACTCACTAATGAATAAATATTTATGCTTTTCATATTCAGCATATAGGTTTTATACATTTACATGAATATTTAGTTTTACAAGAGCAACAGTTTTTTCGTCCAATTTAAAACACTGCATACATATCTGTCTTCTAATTAAAGCGTTCTTTTGATTAATTCAAAAGTATTAGATATTTCTTATCTTAAAGGAGTAACTTTACACTTTTTATACTTTCAGGGAACAATTATATCAATATAGATTGCCCTTTTATCTATATTAATTGGAAAACTTAATTGGACAAAGTTTCAATGGATTTAGATTATCAAAATAAATAATGAATCATTGGCGAAGTTTTTTGTTGGAAGAGAATTCATTTAACTTACGGAGCTACCTTAACTGTATTGAAACATTTTTATATTCAGATTAAATATTATTCTAATATCTTATGTTAGGTATAAAGTTTTACTACACGATATATAAAATTTTCAATCCCACAGTAATTTAGTAACATTTTTGGTACTCTAGAAGTCTGATTTCACATTCGCTAATCTTTTAGCTCAGCAATAGTTTTCGTGTATCGACACAAAGATAAAATAAAAATAATAAATGTTTCTACACTAGGCATCGTCAAAACCAACCCAAATATACCGATATCATGTAAAATTTAGAAAAAAAAAACTCATGATTCAATATAATTGCATAAAAATAAATCTTAGTCCAAATTTCTTTGTCAATTAAATAATGTAGTATAACTTTCTATATAATTAGAAATCATTATAATTGACAATATATATTCAAATCAGGTATAGCTATCTTCCCGCAGGGCAATTTATAGCGCCGCTGACGTTTGTAATAATTTAATAGTAACACAAACAGATAGGATTACAATAATCGGATTCTATAATAGTGAATACATTTGAATAAATATATAGATCATTCTTTAAAATTATTACGTATAATTTAGTATAAAATTATTATAAATCAATAAAGTTTCAGTATAATTATGGTCATTTCACTGGTTATCATGATGTATGTATATATGTTACGAACGATAACAAAATATGAATATATTTTTGAAGAATACTTCACAGTGAACTATGATTGTCACCTATTGGTAGTCCCAAGGTCACAAGTTCAATGCACTATGTTGTAAATTTTATTTCTAAAGAAACAAATCTACTTAAAAAAATAAACTTCCTTCAAAAGGAATCCAAATAGATAACTATATTACTATTTTATAATGACCAAAAGAAATAAGTAATTTATGATATGTAATATAGATGCTAAAGAGAGTCTTGAATAACATTTGTTCCTTTGAAAAAACATTCAAAAATGTTATATAGTTGCAGAAAATGATGTTAATCATAAAAATATCTTTCCGGAGATACATACGTAGTATTTATCGATTTATTATTCGTAAATATAATAATTATTCCAACTTAAATAACATTTTCTTTATACTAATACGAAAGCTTTGGATCAAGATTATATATCAGAATAAAATCAATATTTTGTATCTATTAAATGACATCTTTAATCATATGTATATCAGATGACAATCACAATGCTTCGAACGATGGTTTTGAAGAATATCAAATTTACATTTCGCTGACTATTTTTGATGCCTAAATATTTCTGACGTAACGGCATACAATGGGAATAGATCAAATAACAAAGAGAAACCAAACCGAATATTCAGTGTTCACTGTAGCTGACTAGCTATTTAGTACATATTGGTATTCCTATAAAGGCTATTTTTAAATAGAAATTCTCTGGAATCATGCAAAGTTGCTGTAATGGACAAAAGGTACGCAGTCGTACCCACGTCGAAAAGCCAACCGACTGTTTATTTTATATCTACTCCAAACTAGCAATCCCTGGAGATTTCCTACGCTTAACTAAACTGTAACAACTTTATACAAGAGCTTTTTGCAGTTTATTTTTATTACAGCGTAAGAATATGGAAAATAATATAAATTTGAGATTATGTAACAAAAAATAAATATTTAAAATTCATATACGCATAATAAGTAAGAATATAAAATATTATATATGAATATAAATATTTAGTGTAGAATAATAATAATAATTTTAACAAGTGACATTGTTAAATTAACGACTCGGATGTTGGCCGGCAAGCACGGAGATCAATTCGCTGTCGAATTTCTAGGCTCGAGTGGCGGGCACCTGCTATCCATAGCATAGCCTTCGGAAGGGAGAACGGAGCGATCGATGGCAGGCGGACGCGGGAGGCTGCGCTCCCTCTGGTATGGGGCGCGGCGCCCGACTTTCGCCAAGCTATTTATAGCATTCAAGCCGCTGACCTATTTCGCTGCAGCGCCGACGAGGAAGGTCACGGATTCAGCCTGCTCTCTGTCGTCGCGGCGCCATTGTCTTTTCAACCGAGCTGCAGTGCTAATTAAAGTTGTTGACACTTTGCCGCTTTCTATATAAAATGCTCATACTATCCTTTGCATTGATTATCGCGCTATCTATTCTCGAGAAGTTTTATACATATTTTTTTAACATGTCTACTTTAGTTTAGATATAAGTGGTAATTTAAATCAAATATAAAGAGAGGAATATTTAATGAAGTTATATAAATATTATGTTTCCTGTAGACGTCTGTAATTGTGAAATAAGGCGGAAAATTGAGCGGGAAATGAGAAAGATTTGGCAATAGCAAGGTGATTGCGGCAGGAGATTGTTTTGTCGAGACGTAGCACGTAGACGCGCGTGCCGTCACGGCCACCTGCTTAGCACATTAAACCATCCTACCCTCATGCCTTTAGTTATAAACCTTATTCAAGTTTTAGATTACGACTTTAAAAAGCTACTATATCAAGGCGTTCTTCGTATTCCTTAATTAGAACCGCTTCAGAAGTTGAAATACGTTTAATAATTAAAAACTGTCCGCCTAATGGAGAGAGATTTGTTTTCATTGAGCTACAACGTACATGTTAAAGAGTAATATGAAATGTTTACAGCCATTCACATATTATTGGGATGTTAACATTCAATCATGCTTATAATTGAACGCGTCGGACCCCGGCGACCGTAAATCATTGTACACGAAATAAAGCTCCCATACAATGCTCATAAAGAGACGGCCCAAATTAGAATCATTTATACGAATATATTACAGTTTATACTTATGTATACAACAACAACACAGGCAGAGTATTATACAGGTATTGCAATGTTACAAATATGTATATAAATTTCATTTGATACAAAGTTTTTTTTAACGATCTAGTAAGTTTCGAACATTCATGTTTGATGCTTTGATATTATGAAAAATATTGTAATATTTTTATATTCAATAAAAATTTTACATTTTAATTTGTCGTCGCTAATTTGAACAAATCTTAAAATTTTGTGAATCCGAATAATACATTGTTTTAAATAAAATAAATGTATAAAAATGTAACAAAAATACTTTAAAAATATGATATTAATGAACTGTTTCAATTAAGTAACCTTTGCTTGTTAGAACATTTTATTTTTGACTATTGTTAATACTTCAATTTCGCTAGCGAAGCTGGATACTGAGGTCGATATAAATTTTGTTACTTGTAAATTGTTATGTAAGGATTATTCTGATAAAGAACTTAAGTTCAAAAATAACCTTTTAATTATTGACGTAATTGTCTAACAATATATTCACATGAACACTTCGATCGAAACTATCGAATCTATCGAAATAATTATCGAATAACTAATAAAGGAGTCTTTAAAAATCTTGATAGTAATTATACCTTGAAATTCCTTCCTCGCGGTGCTCACTGATGTGACGATATTAGCGACATGTCCCAAAACTGTAGCAAACAGGAGCAGACCGAACAGTAGTTGAGCGATCACAAACACATACTCTCCCTTGCTCCTCGGCCGTGGCAGATCACCTAATAATAAGATTAAATCTGTTAAAATACAAATATTTAACACTATTAAACGAGCGTGCAGTTTTAAAAGCATTAAGTTAAACTTTATTATCTATATATGGGACAATTATTAACAATATAATATAATAATTGTCCCATATATATGTAGATAATAAAGTCCCATATATAGGAATTCGTTCTTGGAATTGATTAGTAAAGCGAGAGGATATCATAGTATGTACAATTATCGAAGTTAGTAGCCCAAATAACGTCATTATCATAAAATAACTATATTACGTCCCGATATGTCATTAGAAAACTATTAATTCAATTAAATTATTGCTCCTATAATAAATGGACACGTTTATAAAAAATAAATTTCAATCATAATCTGTTCTTAAATGGTAGTATTGTGAAATATCGCAAGGATATGTTATTTACATTTTATGACCATTACCGCTGTTCATGTTAAATTAATTGAGTTGCATATGTTAATAATTTGTAAGCATTTTATATCAAAACCGTGACCAAAACCGCACGCCTGTTGGTGACGCGTTTTCCTTTAACTCGTCACAGCGACTGTTTACACAGCACGATCGGTACACGAATGGTTCACGTTTCGTTGTTAAAAGAAAAAAATAATGTGCATTGAATGTAAATGTTTTCGTGACATCGGTAAGTCTTTCAAAGGGAATCAGTTAAGTATATGTTTAAACATTTTATTAATTATAATGTAAAGTAAGAATATAACGTAAATTTAAAAATTAATAATTTTATTATTTAATTTTTTTTATTAAATTTATTATTATTACTAGAACGGATTGTTGAGTATCTTGTACTTACGTATGTATAATATAGTTTTCTGCTGTGCTTACGTGATCATTTTATTGTAAAGAAGACCATTTTGCATTATTCAAACTAAAACCTTAACTTTTTTTAATAAAGGGCGGTACTTCTGTATAAAGCAGTCCTTATAGTCTTGAAATACAATATTGTGACTGTAATTATCCTCTCCTGCTAAATCTTTAAATCATTCTCAAAAATTAAAATCTAATTGCTAATAAAATTTCAAATTTCATGACTGCATTTATGATTTTTATTTTTAAAAATAACATTTTAGAAGGAATGTTAAATCATTGAAGTATAATACTTGACTTGAAGTGAAACGAATCTCATGACAGCCGAGTTTTCCTAGTCGATTTATTCGTTAAAATACAGAATTGTTTGGTATGACGTGCGAACTATGAATGTCTTGGAATATTTTCACGGTTTTCAATTGTACCAAATATAAAATTCTTCACGATATTTTCATTTTGATTGAAATTACATAGGAATTTTGGCTTGTAATTGGCTTGTAATAATTTTTGAGCTGAACATGTTTTTCTATACGACTTAATAGAAAATTGAAGGGTAAAAAACAACGATTATGTTTAAGCATGAACATAATGATAAAAAACCAATAAAAAAATTATATATACAGATTTTTGTTTATTTTGGGATAACATTGCTTAAAAAACACGGTACTTAGCAAATACGTTTGGTCCAGAAACCTTTTTAAGCCAACGTGACATAGCTTTTTACCTCGTTTATGTGACGTCGTTTTATTTTTGTTGTAATAAAAGATCAAAAGTTATGTAAAACCGATGTGAAGAGTTGAATAAATGTATACATAAGTTTATTAAAAACAAATATCCGTTGTCTAAATGTATAAGAGTATTTGAAGGTTTTAATAAAAAAATATTTGAGTGAATTGTTAGAAGTTTTCCGGTGGATTTGATAACTCACTTAAGTCAGTTAATATCGATAGACCCGTTCGTAAACTTGATTCATTATCGTAATTTTAAGCGTCATCGTCTGTTTGTGATTGTTCAAAACGAGGCCAAGTTTCGATTCTAGAATTTAAGGGCAATTTTTTTAAGTAATTTCCCACCGAACTGAAATGATTAAGCTTATTTAAATATTTTTTTTATCATTGTGAGCAATGTTATTTTTTATTTTTATTATATAAGTACTTAATACATACGTTATTGATTGATTTTTAAAAATCGATTGAGTTTTTTAGAAATCACCCGGAAAGACTAAAGGCAAATGGAAAAAAATAGTTATGAAATTTCTATTTAAATATTGTTAATGGAATATCAATAAAAAATATAAATATGTATATCTTTACAGGTACATGGAGTGAAAAATTACTTTTAATATTTCATGACAATATGAGTATTACTTATTCATTGTTTATTTTGTAAATACGTAAACTAATATGGAAAATTATATGGAATATTTTAATATAAAGAAATTAAGGAGTTTGTTACAAAATTATTATAGTAAGATAAGAGGGCTGATTGAAATTCTAGAGTTGATATGTAATTGTATTAAGTTTGGAAGAGCAAATAGCTCGGTTTTGATCTTACCACTACATCCGACACCGCACCGTCTTGCGGCGCGCCACGGACCTGTTAGAACTGTATTTATGAAGCTCTGGTAATATTTACTTTCAATATATATTACTTACATTCAAAGAAAATTGAAATAAAATCGTACTTTTAAACCATTCTTTATACATTTTCAATTATATCCATTATTCAGACTTCACTTGTTTTAATTTAATTGTAAAACCTTTTCTGGATTTCTACGGTAAAAATTGTGACGTTTTTACTAGGTATATATTTACTTATATGAATTTGTATATTATGTATATGTTTAACGTTCAAAACAGTATTTCGTCCATGTAGTCGGATTGTGGATATATTATTAAATGTTTTACAGTATAAACAAGGTTTCACTTCGGAGTTAAAGCGGATGTTGAATGATATATTTTTGATCGAAAACAGTTAGAGCACTTTGAACATAATTTATCCAAACGATAAGAGGATATTAGAAGTATAAAACCGCACAATAGCGAGCGAACAAGAAGACAGATCGCTTTGAGCCATGACATCAGGGTATACATCTTTAGCCTCGAGTGGTGAAAACATTCTTGTAATATCTTTGAAGACATTTTAATAAACGTATATAATATATATGTATGTAATATTCTCAAAACAAACGGTGCATACACTTAGCAGTGCTATTGTATATTTTTATGATTTGCGGATATATTGCAGTAAAGAAAATTAAAGATCATAAGTTTAATTGAAATATTTTTTTACGTTTGATTTGTTTTGAAAAATAAAACACAAATCCCAAAGGAGGTTTCAGATCGTTCGTTAATATAAAATCGATAGGCCAATTGTTACAAGCCGTAAAGAAATGTACGTCATATTTTTTTATGTTCATTATGTTTCAAACTCGCTTGCATTTTTTGTATGTCCAGATTGGAGTATTAGATATGTCATCAATTGTTAACAGGGTCGATATACATCTTTAAGTACATCATAATAACCAAAAAGATACACAAGGTAACAGAACAAAAGTTAACTATTTGTCTAGTTAGGTTTCCAAATGTATCAACGTTTGCATCTATGGGATAGAAAAGCGTAGTATAAATATATATAAAGTTATTAACTACCTTATATTATTATTGCTAGTACAATTTTATAAAGGTAATGCACATTTTTAGCCTTGCTAACAAACGTATATAAGGGTTGCATCTCTATAAAAATTCCAGCCGTTCTGTCTTTAGGTCACACGTAACAGGTAAGTGCCCCATCACAATCACTATTCTTGGCAAGTGGAGACCATTTTTAGTATACATTACTATGTACAGTGTACTCATTGTTATGGCAGACTTTTATTTTAATTATTTAAAGCAAAGAGATCACATTGTGTTTATTTTATTAAATCTTATTACTTAATATGTTGGTACTGATAATAAATTATTATATAGAATCTGACAAATTAATTAAATATATATACATTCGTTGTAGACATGAAATATGGGATTTGTATAAAATATATTTCAAATTGGACAAAATAAAAGAGAAAATTGAATAAAAGTTACATGTATTTCCAATGACCGGTTATATCGAAATAGCTGTGAATTTAATTTGTTATATTTTGTCAAACTTTATAATAAACGATTTTTTAAATAAAAATATATAGTGAAAAAATTCATTCAAGCACTAAAATGGGTTTAAATCAATCAGTGCCATACAAAAACTAGTCAATGAAGTCCCGGCACTTCATCAGCAAGCTATTCAGCTTGTCCATTGAAGGATTTCTACTATCTTGTCAAATTATCAATGTTGATTAAAAACGTTGAATCATTCTGATAGAGTTAAGTTCGATAAAGTAAAAGGATTCATTTTTGATTCATATAAAATATGTTTTATGCAAGTTAAAAGTAATACAATTGTTTTATATTTTAATTTTTAATATAAACAACTAAATTATAGCAACTTTATAAGATTTAAATTCAGTATTCTCCATGTTTTGGTATAAAAACTACGAGCAATAAGATGTTGCTTATAAGAATCAATGATGAGATTAATTCCTATGAAGATACTTAAAAGTCGTTGTATAAAGTTTCCGCAATACATTGGAAAACAATAAATAGGAGGAATTGGAGAAGACGTCATATGTTTTAAAAAATATATATTTGAAAGAAAAATGCTCTTCATATATATTTTTATAATAAATATATAGCTCTTCTTCAATTCAGTCACTCTATTTTTTGTATAAATAACCTGAGTCAATCTTTATACAAAGCAAAATACATATTATCATTATGTTTTCTCTGCTCTCGAATAGAAAAAATCGGGGTGACTTTCTTTTTAGGTAATTGAAATTATAATATACTATTTTATATATACTTTAGAAAATGATCAATGCTATTATACAAATAATATTTTCTTTATTTTTTTGTGATTTTATTTTAAAGTAATGCAATAACGAGTATAGTTATTATTTATGTTGTCGATTTCTATGCAAAGGAATTTAAAATACTTATTTAGACTGGAACCAAAAAAGCCTTATAAAGTTAATGGAGAGCTATGAAATGTGTTTTTTTATATGAAAAAACGGTTTTTGGTAAAGCTGTTTTCGGACAACAATGTAAAGGAAATTGATCAACCTTGTTGATTCCAAAAAGCTGATAAAATGGGACCACGGTGAAAAGTTATTTTCAATAGACTTTTACTGAAATATAATTTTCAATACATCTTGTTGAATTTTACTTGTTATTTAGGAAACATATACATGGTTTGATTAGTTTGAAACTAAAGATAAATATAGGATGTGTTAACTAATATTATTTTAAACAAATGTCTTTGTTTATAGCGGTAATTTCTATACAGTACATAAAATATCTATTTTATACAAGACCTTCATACAAAGGTTTTGTTACTAGGTTAAATTTAAGGTGAACCTAATAGCAAAAGTGTTTGTATGTGTAATTTTACAATGATCATTGTTCTAAGAGGTACAGAGGTGTACTTTTAGAAGATTACTTCTCCTCCCAGATTGCAACCTACGATATAAAATCCGGTTGATTTTCTCTTTCAAATTTTCCCCGATTCGGCCAATGGAATTAGTGAAACGGGACCTCTACCTACTTTTTACGATTATTTTTAGTGGAAAAGGCAGAAAAGCTCTTTTTAGAAAGAATTTTAAATGGAAAAGGCAAGCGTGAAAATTTGGGATAAGGTTAGTGAAAAATTTTGTTCCGCTGACATAAAAACAAGTGACTGTCAATTAAATGCTTCCGTTTATAGAGGTTTATAATCAACAGTTATCATTTTAGCATAGAAATAAAAAAAATAGCTTGCTTTTAATTTTAAACAATCATTTAAAAATTAACCAGAAAATATGATTAAAATGGCTAATGTATGAACACGTAATTAATTTAGCTAATTAGTTTTTACATTCTGCTAGCATTGAATCTAAAATCAAAATTACTATCACAATAGCAATCACGCATACATTATCTTAATTAGAATCAATTACTGGTCGGATTGCACGTTTGCAGACGTGCTCAGTGATGATAACGACTTTAAAGCTATTGAAATCAAATCAGTTTAGATTTATTCGTGATTATATTAAGTTTTCATACATTACTATATCATATTGATAATAATATTTAAATATCAATTTATGATATCAATGTCAAATTGGAGTACAAGTTCTGAATTACATATAAACCTATAACATAATGATACTGATGGACGTGAAAAGTAAAATCTTCAAAGCGATCTCTGGATACCTATCTTGATTCTGTTACGAATTTGTTGTATATAGTATATAGTATATTCCTACAAAATGCTCTGAAAACAAATCCGTATGTTTCTTTATGATACAAATTAATAAGCTTTTAATTGAAGCAGACGTTGTAGTACTTTTAATAAAATTTCTTTAATCCACTTAATTTCAAGTAGTAAGATGTTTCTGCATAGCGTAATGCCTTATTAATGCAATTTAGCTGGAGTGTTATAGTTCATGACAGAGATATGATTAGCTCTAATAAACAGTGTATCGGGCTCGGTGGGGATGTCGCTGGCGTTGGACTTTGCGTCCATAAATAGTAGGATAATTGCAGGAAAAATACAGCTTATTTATAAAAGCGTTGAAAGAAAATAAAAAAGAAAACAGAGGTAGATTATTTTTCTAAGAATTGCATTTTTATAATAAAGTTTTTTAATACTTTCTATTTTCTTCACGGTTGACATAGAAATAAGAAAAATTACTAACACTGATTCTTAAAAGAAAACATTAACTAATATGGCACACCACGTGATTTCTACATTGTAATGGTTTAGATTGTAATATTTGTCGCTAACGTTAGTACGAATATTAAAATATTGTATATATTGAGAATTAATATAAAGACTACTATTGCATAATTTGTACTAAAAGTCGCAACTTTTGTATTCGCTTCTCGAATAAACTATATATAAAATGTTCTTAGTAAGTAGGCATTATATATTGTAACAAATAAATAATCATTAAAATTTTGTATCGAACAAAATAAGCGATATAAAATAAAATTTCAATAGAAGCGGACGCTGGGACATCGGAAATAGATGAACAACGAGATATCAGCAGACACTCGAACTCAATAGTTCTCGACTCGATGGATCTTCTTTCTATAATGTGGTAACTGTTATTGCAAACAATCTCTCCCCATACACTCCGACAACGTCTGCATGATATATTGGGTAATGTAATATGTAATTCTGAGTGCTTTTTACGAGATTTTTTGATGAATATATTGTTGGGTTGTAATAAAATTGTATCACGTAAAGTAATCTCTGCTTCCATCAGATTTAACGACGTCAGCTTCAGTGTGCGCTTACGAGTGCCCTTTCTAACAGAATTGACAATACGCTCTAACACAATTTAGATGTCGCAAAACCAACGACTGCGAAGCTTAAATTGAAAGTGGTTAAGTGTAATGCATTACATAAAGTAATTATAAATAAATATATAAAAAAAACCTAAGCTGTCATCTTTGATTTGAGATCTTTATTGATTATAATATGAAATGGTATAATAAAAACTCTTAGTTGAAAATCCAAGTCTTAACGTAAGTCTTTCAATTAACCTATTGTTTGAGGCCTCTTAAGACAAAGAATATATTTAAAACGCTCAAATTATAATTTCCTATCTTGTATATTTTATCAAAAGATAAATATTAAATGGAAAAAATAATCCCGGCTAATATTCATTGTATTATGCTACATTAATATTACGTGAATCAAACACACTTAAAAAATACATAATAATTCAATTGAACTCGAGATGTTTTAAAATAAAATATATAAAACAATGTTCCATTGTTTTAAGATTGTAAATAAGTACAAAACTGAGAAAAACTTGGCTTTTGCTAATAATTATTATATTTTCCGTTAAATTGCAATATCTGGAGACAAGAAGGCTGGCTCATTTTTCGCCCAATGAATTAGCATAGCTATTCAAAGAGGAAATGCGGCCAGCATTCTTGCTTCTATTCCAAGCAGACGTGATCTATACGGCAGTAGGTTTTGTATTAAATATTGTACATTCTCTTTTATTCTTACATACTTTTGTTACTATTCTTTTTTATAATATTATAAAAAATGTATATTGTGATAGCGAATGATCCCCAATCTAAATATCATGCAAAATGGCTAATGCAAATTTTTAAAACCAACATTAGAATAGAAAAATAATGTATCGTGTTTAATTCCTAAGAATTTAAAAATACGTTTATATGAACAACTTAATATATTTATGATATCGTAGAAAAATATATACAAAAGAATTATTGTTCATGATACAGTATGTAGATAGATGAGGATATGTCTATATTATGAAGTGCAAATGTCTTGAATATCACATTAACATTTGAATATACAGGAAAAATAAAGGAGACGAGTATTACGGCATCATCACATATCAAAAGAAATTCGTCTGTTAAAGAAAAATACAGGAATTTTCTAAATTTTCTTAGTACGAATTATAAAATTTTTATATATCTTTATGTCTTAATTATAATCTTATGTTTTTGTCCATCCAAATAAAATCTCCGTGGATTTATATGAACAAATTTTAAATCTAATTTACCGTTAAAATTTTTTGAATTTAACAAATGATGTTAGTTTTTAATGTATATTGTGTACTTAAAAAGATAATAACATAAAAAATACATGCAGTATTGTGAGCGAGATAAATGTATGTTGTATGATATAAAACTTACCTATAGTAGTGAGGGCTAGCGTGCACCAGTAATAACTTTGTAGATATTGTTTCACTACATCCGCAGTCTCTGTATCGTGATACACCCAGTTTTTACTGCCGAAACCATTGTTTTTATATATTATATGGTACAAGCACCCGTTCCAATGAAATATCACTAATAAATAATGAATTAAACTGGTCGATCTAAACAAATTTGGATAGTTCGTGTGTCGTTCCGTACGGTCCATGAATGCCCAGAAACGATAAATTTTCACCAATCTAAAGGATCTCAGAATGGAGTTGAAACCGATGGACAAGTAGAGGAAGTCCAGAGGCAACAAGCAGAGGCAGTCGATGTAGAACGTCGTTGAATTCATATAATGCGCCCTTAACTTCGCTGCATCCGTCTGTAGGACGCCGTCTTCTAAATATCCCGTCCGAAAGTGAAATAGAATGTCCGCCAAATAAAGAAAATCTGAGAAATAGTCCAGGCAGAACCACACTATTAACGTCTCACCTGCAACAAATAATTGTTCATTAATATTTTTATGCATTAAATACTTTTAGCTTTTAAAAAATCGTTATGAATGTTTTTCACGCGTGGATGGACTCCATTATGTTCCCGGAACTGTGATAGTACAATGAAACTCAAACGTTAAAATCGGAACGCAGCTTTAGAGTATTACATTGTCTTCGGTGAAATACATTTAACTTTGAAGCTATTTAGGTAGGTAAGTAATTTAATTCTCATCGAAACAAGTTGAATGAAAACTATCCACAGAGTAAATTAAAAGTTACTGCCTGTGTAGGTGTTACTAATCTAGAATGATATCTTAAACGAGACGTCTTTTGCATAAGATCAGGAATTAAAATTGGATTCTTATCCCCTAAAGCGTCTTCATTCAGATCCGTCCGACGCTGAAATGAAACCGTTATATAGAATTCATTCATCGGAAGTCAAACTTTCCAAGAAGATATGTTCGGTAAAGATCTGACGTAGACAAAAGGATTCTCTACAATTGGTATTTATCCAACGAGTGGATATTTCTTTGTTATTCTTGGGAAATTAACTTTATGAAGGTCTTATTTGATGTTCACATTTAAGACGGGTAAATTTTATAAAATATATTTCTACACATCGTTGGGTAAAAGGTATAATAATATAATACAAATAAAAAAGAATAATATTATTATATTTTTTACTTCAATTTGTGTAGAAGAAATAGATATAATAAAAAATACTAGTAAGATGATCCACTATTTAGCCAGTGACACTAAAGACCAAAAATTACTGGATGACGTCGTATTTTTTGGTCTCTATGTCATTATACAAAGAAAGTGGATCAATAACAAGCTCGCTATTGATAGCGTTCTAAATAGCCTTATTTTAATGTGTTTTCGTGACAAGCTTAACTCAAGAAAGAATGAGTGTACGTACCATTAATCTCTTGAAAAGCGAACCTATAGACGATAACCCATAGGTTGTAAAGGAAGGCAAGCGACACCACCATGGACCAATAGTAACAAAGACGGCCCGCTGGGTCGAACACGAAAGACCAGTGAGGTCCCGACCTTAGCCGTCCACTAGTATACGTTGATCTCCTACGGAGACCTCCTCTACTGCTGCTAGAAAAAAATATGTATTATATTATTTTCTGTATTAGCAACTTATGCTTAATTCCTTATCATTCATCTAATGTTCGTTAAAATTTTTGTGAATCATATCATTAATTTTTGTTCAAATAATTGTATTTGTGGATGTGTACTAATAACTTATCAGATATTGGCATTCAGAGTATAATAAATATTGGTAAAAAAACTAAATAATATAAGTATTTGCATCTAAGACACGATGAATCAATTATTGTGACGTACTCGGTATAGACAAGTGGATTTCTTTTCATCGCAAACAGTGGCAAATGTACTTTATTTTGTGTTATTTTGTGTCTCCTCAATAACTGTCATATCAAGTGATACATCATATTGACATAGGATTGCTAAGACATCGAACCATTGAGCCTCATCGAAATTATTTGAGATAGTGAAGCGATATCAATAGTGTTATTCGTTAAAAAGAGTAAAAAATCTTTTCATATTGACAATATTGAATATAACGCAACTACAAATATACGTGATAAAAGAAAAATATGTTTGTTTGTATTTAACATTCATACTCCCGAACGGATTTGGTTTTGAAATTTAAGTAGCAGTTACAAGACTAAGCCGTAAGAAGTAGTTTTTATTATAACTCGTTTAAAATAGAAAATGTTTTTAAAGAATTATTTAAACTATCTCCAAATTTTTTTCCAGCTTTAATTTTTCCGCGTAGCATTGAAATTCAAAATGTTGAGAAGGTTAGTAACTATTTTTTTGGCTAACCCGTTTCATGAGATAGTGTAATTGGTTATAAAATGAATTTAAAGTAATATAAAAAAAGATACTGTTTAAATGCGTTATGAGTGAATAGAAAAAAAGTTAACCACAAAATATATAAATGGGATGTAAAAATTTACGCCCATTAAGTTTTGTCTAAGTATTTGATATACCAAATTAATTGTTACTCTATATTAATATAAAATATACAAACATATGTTGACATAGAATAGTATATCGAACTTAATAAAAATTCGTTTAATAACTTTTATATTATTTAGTAATTAAAATTATCATGTAATCATCAGTAATAATACACTCTATATTCCAAATTACAATGCGCATGTTATGTCGAAGTTACAAACAATAATCGTATAATTAGTAAGGGAAAATTGAATATCAGGACACAAGTGCCACCTGTGAGAAGGATTTGAGTATAACGAGAGTGTTTCCAATTAATCTGGGCTAGAGACCGGAAGGCTTCTCCGGTGTATTGCGGTGGTATAGTGGCGGCTTCATTATCTTTAACTGACACAATTTCAATACCTGGCATATTCGGCATCTCGTTTCACTTCAGAAGCTGTCATTTAAGACAGTTTATTAACATGGAAACGTGATAATTTATACGTGTTTGATATTATATTTAAATAAATTATAACATGTAGTATTATTGACTTAATATTATAATGTTTGTGTAAAACAATCACAATTTATTTCTAATAAAAATTTGCTCATTCACTCAGCTGGATCAAATTTTTATTTAGCATAAGAAAATAATTATCAATACCGTTTTTTAAAGAAAACAGATTATAATTGTGTTTAGAGTTATTTGATATATAGGTAAAACAGAAGAATAATTTTGTCAATAAAAAAACAAATAATATTTGGTGTATTAATATACATATGTACATATATATGTACATCATACGTACATATATACCTATGTTGGTACACGTAAATATATTTTCATCAGATATACTACCCTTACAAAAAGTAATGTATAACAATTATGATCTTTATTTAAAATATGATCCCTTCAGAACTTTACTACGAACATTTTTTTTTTCATAAAGTTATTATTTCCATATCAGTGCATCTTTAGATTTGATCTTTTGCTGTCAATAGCATGAGCCAATAACTTCTTTCTATTTCTTTTAATTTATCATAGTCAGTAATTTAATCCGGAGTCATTCATGTTGATCAATTTTAGAATTGCTAGAATAGACTTCAAATTACAATTTTATGGTGTCTTATCACCATTATGCAGTGAAAAATACTTACAATTGTTATCAATACAAATATGTTTACCTATCACAAGCAGTTAAGAGTGGAATAAATGGGTGCTGTGAGAAAGAAATGGAAGCGGTAAATCTTAAAAAAAATAAACACCATTTTTCCTTTCATTTAGAGTATGTTTGTTGTTTACCTATTAGGCTTATTTTTATGCTGCAAATACATGTACGATATGATATAATAACAAAAATAATATATAATATTGAAATCTCTGTTAAATACAAATATTTTCAGTTAGAATTCAATGAGTTGTAATGTGGTGAATGTAGAAATTGTTACTATTGACGAAAATCATAGTAGAAAATTCCTAATGCCTCTGTTTTTCATCTGACATCTATCATTAAACTATGTCTATTTCCAAATAACAATATAATTGGTTACCATACTTAGTAAATATAAGAGATATAAGAAAATATAGAAATTGTATAACGTAGTTAGACTAGTAAGTCAACATGTTAAGGTAGTTATTATGGTGGTAGTGTTTACCTATCAGTCCCATTGCAGTGTGGTGTTGCGAGATGATTGTGAGATTGATGCGGAGCTGGCGTGGCGGGAGTATGCGGGGTGCTTCGCCACCCACTCAACAGGGGCGCCTCTCCACTTGCACCCAACAGTTTTAATCTAAATTCATTAAAACATGTTTAATTATTTCACAGAATACTTATATAGGTATTAGCGATCTCGGGGAGCGTGTACAAGTTCTAGAAGAAATCGTTAACTTTTTTAATGGGACGCGTTTTTGATATTGCGAAGTGTTTTCGCTTTTGTTTAAGGTGTAATTATGAAGTAACAATGACTTTTAATAGGTTTTTTATTATAACATTAAAGATTAATTAGAAGTAAAATTAATTTCTAAAACATTCTTAAATATATATTTTTAGCCTCTTATATATACATATGTATATCGAAGATAATATTAATACTGGGAATTATGAGAAGTGATATAACTGGGAAAGATATTTTCCTATTTATAGCAACTTGCCCAGAAAATATGTATTCAACTCACAAGTAAAGGAATCGTAAAAAAAAATAAGGATACAGAAGAATTGCACGAGCTAACTTTAAAAATTGGTTTTCCAAGTGCATCGTGGAGCGGGGGCAAAGAACCTTATTTTCCAAGAAGCAGTCGTCCGTGAAACGATATATAAAATGATGAAATCTTTGTTATTGAAGCGATGTTGTGACACTCACTCAATCTTACACCAATTTTATTGCCACAACAAAAGTAAGAATTTCGACTGGACCGATATTGATTCTTATCGAATGATAGTTCTACCTGACTTGTAATATCACTTGAAAGTCCTTTACTATCTAGTGTTGATTGGCGGCTTTTTATCTATAAAAGCAACAGCCCATTGAATCAACCCTCATGATTAAAGCCCTCACTAGAGGATGGCCCTTGCCATCTAAGGCAAACAAGAGACAGACTCTCGAACCTCTTCACAGCTGACTAAATGGCACACCGCAGTTCAGACACGAATCGTTAAGAAAATTTATTTTCACGAAAAGGCCCATATTATTTTTATGTGGCATTTTATAGGTGATTACTTAAACGAAAAATAAAGTATGAAGGAAAATATGATAGATAGTTATTATCATAGACGTGAGCCTTCTGTTTCAGGTGTATAAAGTTATAAGAAATTCACCTATGAGCTAGCTATATTCTGGTACGATCTATGATTGGCAAAACAATAGCAGACAGGTAATATATCACAACTTTAGAATATAATCTTAAATGTATCTCCCTTTAATAATTCAACGGGAACATTTTGAAAGCAACTGCAAGTGTATGATACACGATATATCTCTTTTATCGACAACGACGGCTTGACAGATTCCAGTTTGTGTGATATCAAGTAATATCGCTTTTCCATCTCGTCAAACCCCTCGGGTTAGACGCGTTAACCCGCATACGCTGGCGTTTGTGGTTCATTTCTTATTATATATACTCTACTAACAGAATGATATTTAAAATAATCTAAATAGTACACAATTTGTTTTGATTTTTTTATATTTTTAGTATGAATATTATTTTAATTTCATTGATTCAACAGTTTATAAGAATCAAAAAAATTTACGACTGTGTTTATATTGCTTATAATATCGTTAATTATGTTTTGTACTTACATATATTTGTTCAATTTTATAGCAAACGTAAGTTGATTTATAATGAAATTAAATATATACAAAGTTGCTTAGAAATATCCAAGAACGTGCATCTCACAACTTTGATCATTTGCAATAGAGCGATCCTATTCACGAGTTTAAAACTTAGTGCATTGAAAAGGTCGAACTTCTCGTCCAGAAAAGTTCCTTTTCACCAAAGAAGCCTCCAGGCACGTGTATGGATCCTTGTTGCCTTATATAAAGATTTAATGTACGGAAAAAAATGAAAGCCTTTTCTGACGTAATGTGTACAAATAAAGGACCTGACTACTAGTCATTATATGTACATGTGTTTTAATGGAAATCACAGTACAAGAGTTTTATTTCTCGATTTTAACAATATTTTTATGAATTTATCTTTCAAATTTATTAACTCTCCAATTTTTATTTAGACAGTGTAACTTAGGTCAATAGATATAATTAAGAAAATAAGAAATAAAATAATTTAAATAGAAATAAAAGAAAAACACATACATAGCTGTAATGTGAGACTTATGAAAGTAAGTTTTAAATATTTTCCTTTTCAGTCCTTTAACAAAACATAACAAATTATTTGAACAGTACATACAATAAACGTGTAAATAAATATACTTTAAGACTTAAACATTTATATAAATTAAATAAACAAGGAAAGACTAGAGTATTAATTAAAACGGGAACCCTATTAGATGTTAAAATATTATACATATATTTGAAGTAATATGTTGGTGAAATTATAACATGAACACAAAGTCAGGTGTTTATTTTCGGTTCAAAACTAAATTTGAACTCAACGCTAAAGTTTGCTTTTGATCAGGGTGCCTTTCATTTTATGCTAGACTTACGCAACACGATTATCCATAGAGAAGCATAATATTATTAACATGAGTACAATTGAATGTATTCTTCGCGTTTAGATATAATCTGATTCTTAAAGCAATCTTCATATGTGAGCGTTATGTTTGTTTCTAAGTAATATTTAGTGTCGAAAAAGAATTATGTTATGTTATTCAAATTATAATGTTATTTATAAAACATTTTAAAGTAAACTTCATTCTTTAATTCACTATAAAACTACAGTTATTTTCGTAGGACTTATGAATAACAATATTTAGATCTGATCGCATCAAATCAATACAATTTTTAAATGGTCAATATCTTCTAAATTAGATTTGAATAATATTTTTAAATATTATACATTCACTTTAGTATATATTTTTATAGAATTTGATTGTTTTTTACTCAACGATTTCTTTTAGTTACTCCTTCAAAGAATAACTGCAAAGCGGAACTGGTGACAAATTGAATACATCGGATTTCTGTACTTCGTCGTAAATCGATGTTGGCATATAACCGATAACTGTGCTCATACTGTCCAATTGGTTTAATGCACTCCTTACAAAATAAATTTATTTACTTTATATATTTTTTTGTTATGAAGAACATCAACAATACTTTTTGCTTCTGAGAGTTATAAAAGAAATATTTATTTAATTGAAGATTTAAAAAAAAACGGTCATCGTGATACCCCATACTGAAAAAATATTTCCTTATTGTATTACATTTAAAAACTTCTCAAATATTAGCTAAAGTCAATCGCATATAGACAGAGATAGAGATATGTAGAACTCAGAACCACATTTCTCAGTCTGCTAAAAAGTTTCTTCATATTATCCTATAGATTGCACAAATTTTAACTAAGTATGTGTAAGCTGTTAGAGCCACCAGCTAGTAATTTCGCAAGTTGTAAGTTAGATACTGTGTCAACTCTTAGCAAAATTAATTTGTTTTAATTAGTTGAAACCACTTTGTTGTAAAATCATGTGAGAATTTTATTATATACAAGATAATATAAGTCTAATTCACGTATAATTATTATAGTTTGCTGTCTCTATAGTGGATAATATAATAGTCCCAGTAACTTGTAACATAATTGTTTTGCTCATGTTATATTAGAGTGAGCAGCAGCAAAAGTTAAATTGGGATAGGCAATTATACAATTCTTGCTATGGAAGGAGGTATTCTTGTTCCTGCAAGCACAATAAATCAGCAATCATCATCATCACCATCAGCCGATCAGAAGACCACTGCTGAGCAAAGGCCTCTTCTCACATGAAAAAAGTAAGCACAATCAATGGTAAAATCAAAATATCTGAGTGAGCTAATATACCTAGCTTTGTGTGAGCGTCTGGAACGCGAGGAGAGGTCTAATTCGCTGGCGGCGGAACAAGCTGTGCCTGGTTGCAGGGAACCACGCGACCCGCCCAGCCGCCGCGAGCCGAGCCGGCACGTCATCATTTCTGGAACAAATAATCATATTTAACATGGAACATATAATTAATTCATTGCTTAGTAGATCACTACATTTACTTAAAGTTGTTAACAAAATGAATTGGATAATGAGATCTAATTTCTAGTTTCATTTAAAATGAGTTGGACTTTTTTATAAGAACCATGATTAATAAAGCTTTATAATAACCAACCCGTTTTCATCTATTATTGTACGTATTTTCATTAAAAACCCTTAATGAGTTTAAAAGGTTATAAAGAAATAACCGAACAGAAACGTCTCATTAGCTTCCAAGTTATTTTCTGTATATAATAACATGTGGTACATATTTGAATACCTTTGACACGAATGAAAATGGTTTTTATATCTTTTCGTTAATGATATCAGAAAAACAGAATCATATTGCAAATATTTTGATATCAGTCAAAATATAAATTTTTCAACGTAATGTTAGATCATTATAGGATCAAATAACATTGAATCCTGAATTAAATGTATGTATAAATTAAATATTTAAATGCGTTATATCGAGTTTCGAGAATTTTCGAACTGTGAAATTTGACTTTTTTATATCATTTAAAATTATTAATATTGTTCATTAATTTGTGTTATTTTAAAAAGAATGTTTTTCAATATGTAAGTAAATAGTGTATCTACCGTAGCTCTCTTACCAATCTACCGAATATCCTGTACGTTCAACAAAATTGTACAAACAAGAACACCAAAAACTCGTCTCGTAAGGACGATCGAATAAAAAGAAAACAATCGAGACAATGAAAGTAAGCCATCTTGTGAGGCAAATAAAATGAATAAATCGAATAAAGCCTATTCTTGGCCCGTCTCTTTTTATAAACTGTCGTCCACAATTTTGTTCATTGAGTCTCCCACTCCCCCAAAGTTCCGGTCCAAATTACAAGGTTGAAAGAAACTCCCTCTTGCCCCACTGAGATATAAAAAGTGAAAATAAAAATTGGTGCAATCAACAAACCACGGCTAACTGCGAATAGAATATTTTATAATTTTCAGAAACTTTAAGTGTTCTTGGGCCAATCCACTTCATTTGTACGAAAAAATTTGGAATATTTTTGCACTCGTTGTTCGTTATACTGAAATTTATGGATTTATTTGATATAAAATTTTCGAAATGGTTCAAAAAACTTTAGTCAACTTTAAAATCATAGTCTTACGCAACCTATAATATGAAATCGAGCCGGATAACTTCGTAATCGGTGAGGTACACCATAAAATTCTATGCATGTATTATTAAAAAAATAGAAAACAGAGATTTGAAACCGTAGTAGTATTACGTAGGTGAGGAGAATAGTACATATGTTAATATATACGTTGTTTCAGTAGCAGGCTGTTTCTGTAAATTTTAATGAGATACGTAACGTCGCAGTGCGGGTGAGGCTACCATCCTGCTTATCATACGTTATTGATGCATTTGGATGAACAGATTGAAACGTTGGATTTAAGGTGATTCATCGATGACCATCCCTGAATGCAAAACTGGTTTGGGATTCTGTGTTTATTTAAAGAAAAACTGTAACTATAATGTTTATAACAAACAATTTTACTTTAAATATTCAGTATTTTTTTCATTTCCATGTTCATATCTGCATATTTTGTTGAATAGTTTACTTCATTAGATGGTGAATTTATATATAAATTTTAAACTAGTTAAACTTTTCTGACTACGTCTTTTAGTTGTATATATTTCGTTGCGTATTTTCCGTACCCGCAGTATACTTTGCCAGGTACATATGTTTCTTTTTACATACGGAGTCTCAGCAGTTTTTCATTGAATCAGAAAAAGGAACAACCTAATACGTAGTGTGATGATGCAAATTTGATTAAAATGTTACAATAAGAGAACATTAGACATTAAATTAGAGGCTGGAAAAGGACAAAGATATCATTGATATATATTGTTCCCTTAGGTTTAACTTCTTATCTGATTTTAATAAAATGTTATGATAAATACGGTGAAGCTATCCAAACTCAAGAAGTATGATTACTACACCAATTCTAAATGCCTAAATATTTTTTGTCGAAGATTTTCAACCTATGTAGCATAAAGTTAGGAGGTAAAAAAATATACATTTACCTAAACACCGGAAAACGTGCAGTTCATTGAACATGTCTTTAGATAAAGTCAACGCAATTGAAAAGGTATTGTGGGTGAGAGTATTGTTTTACTTGCCCCTAAAGAAATTTACGTGATATGATGTGGAAATATCGAGTAAGGCAACTGTTGAGCCACTGACGAGACAAGCCATTACACTCTATGAATGACTTGAGTTTTCAGTACAGAGTTCTTTCTCGTGTGTCTTACAATGTCAAACACAAATTTTCTTACAATGTTAAACACACAATATCTTTTTATATCTAGTTTTTATACTACAGGACGGTGCACGATCACAATCTATCTGATAAATTGTATTGATCTACTGTTCAGGGAGTATCTGTGCACTAGTTTAGGAATGAAAAATGACTTATAATAGATAAAAGACAAATAAGTAATAAAGTAGTGATGACGAGCGGCACTCTCGACAATCAAAGGCAGTTGTAACATACAATTCAGTCGATACTCTGTTTGACATGTATGAAGGAACCGACACAGTTACAGTATGTTTTGTCATTGAAACCGAGTTTACACAAAAAAGTATATACATACGATTCATAACCATCCATTTATAAAATAATAGCGTAAAAAAAATTGTTACGATTTCAATTCATACAATTATTTATTATTATTTGACGTTAATTAATATTTGCAATTCTTTTTTTGGTTTAAGCGTTATCAAATAAAGTTATATAGTATGTTTAAATAGTATCAGCAAATTACGTATTTGTTTTTCCTATCAATGATTCTAGAACTGCATTTTACAAGTAGATAATTGATTTTTATCAATTAATATTGATTATACGTAACTTTAACTGTAATAGAATAGCAAATTTGTCAAATTTAAAAAATAAAAAACGTGATAAAAAGATTTGGAATATACAGTTGTATGTTTGATTTTAAAAATATATTTTGAATAGGTATAAAAAATAAAATGTATTTGATATCAAAATCTAATTAATCATCTAATCTACTTTCCTTCGATGTATGAATTATGATTTATGTACGCGTCGCCTTCAATCAATCTTACACGTATTTCGTAATATGTCGCTACATATACATTATATGTCCTTTGTGTAATTACTTTGAACGCTGATCAAATTTCACGCCGTTAAAGTTTGCTCACCTCTTTGTTAATGTATGTTAGTAATTTTCTTTGATCTTCTCATTTACGACTCGGTTATAATAGACAGAATTATTAATGCCATAATGAAGTCAGTTTAATAAAAATTAAGTTTACTTAGTATGGATTACAGATAAGTAGTAAAATAGTAAATAGTAGTACCAATAGTAATAATATTTTAAGTTATATTTTCGACTGTTAAGATAAATTTTACAGTGAGAAGAGTAAAATTAATTGTGTCGGCTGTGTATAAGCACGCTTCGAGTGCCAAAAGTCGGGTTAATGTTATAGGAAACCTTTAGTGTTTCAGATGAACTATGAGTAATATTTAGTTAATATTACCATTGGCTGGGGTTAGTTATTCTAAAAATTTATTGAAAAAAATTTAAACTTTAGGATCTTTAATATAAGTATATTAAAGATAATGAACATTTTTTTCATTTGGGTAAAAAACCTTCCGACTGTCTTTGCTACAACGACTTTATATAATTTTATAGCTGTTTTTAATATAACCACATTCTTTATTGTATTATTATATACTTTTTACGAAATTAATTTATTCAGATTCCTTATATATAAATATAATTATTAAATGATATTCCTTTAAATATCTACATATTAAGATTTCCATTTAAATTATACATTTAAGATTTTTTATAATTAAAAATAATATTTTCATAGATCGTCTCTATAGTTCTGTCCGGAGTTAAGCCGCACTGCGTCGTCACATATCATTTGAACGATACACTGGATCTAATTCAACTGACCTTATTTAATTAGACTTAAATTATCTGGTTTATATGTCAAATACCTCAAAAAATACTTTCAAAAGACAATCATTACTTTATTACCTACAGCGTTCCTTTCATACGATATTTAAAAGTATAACCCATATAAAAGAAACCTGAAATACAGTTATGCGAGGATCATGGGAGACAACTATGAATGTGCGCAGTACTGAAAATACGTAAAAATAAATTTCACTGGTATTCCATGAACCCTGACAATACCGCATTCACAAAACGAATTTATTTTGTATCCTAGGTTTGTGTTGCAAGCGAGCGGTTTGAGTGCGGTCAGTTTTACTTTTGAATGAATTTATTTAATTATGCCCGATATAATTTTGTTGCAATAATTAAAATTTCTTTATAGATATATATATATATATATATATAAAAATTGCATAACACGTCATTGTTTGTGTAATAATTTTGATATATAACTCATTTTAATTAAGCATTGGATGGAATGGAAATATAATGGTTTTAAAAAAGGAGTAATTCCAAGTTTTACTTCTCTGTTTTTTGAATGCGATTTATAATATATATTACTAGTTAAAATATTAGAAACCATGTGTGGTATTAAGACTACATATTTATTCAATATACCTATTTTTTTAATAAATATACTTTATAATTTATTACATAAACTGATAAAGTCTAACGAAGTAATAAATTCTAGATATATTATTTCATTTAGTCATGATAGCTGAGTCTGCGGACATAGGAAATAAATAGTTAGCAAATATAATATTCTTACTTTTTACGTAGCATATGTACATATATGTAAAAATACGAATAAACGCAAACCTGGATAGTATGAAAACCTTTATAACAAAATTCCCACGTCAATTTGAATACAGAAGGTATTATGTCTATAAAGTAGTGAAAAGGAACACTACATTGTATATACATTTCGGGTTATTTTTGCTATCTTATTATATTACCGAAATTGAACAATGAAGAACATTACATATT